GGCCCCACCGCCCCCCGCTCGCCGCCGCTGCCACTCACGGGGCTCGCTCCGCGCATGCGCCGCCCGCGGACGCGCCGCCGCCGCTGACCTCACCGCCCCTCCCCCGCCCCCCGCTCCCTCCTCTTCTGACGCGGCGCCCGGGCTGCGCTGCGACTCCAACTCCGGCTCCGGCTGGGGCTCCGGCTCCGGCTCCGGCTCGGGAGAGCGCCAAGCTGCGGATGAGCGAATCCGGGATCGGGGTCGGGGGAGTGCGCGGAGGGAGAGCGAGGACGAGGCGGGCCGCGTCCGCGCTCCGCAGGCGCTCGGCCTCCGCGGACTGGCGGGCGGGTGTAGAGCTCGTCCCGCCCCGACGCGCGGCGGGCCCGGGTTTCCCCCGCACCCCGCGCCTCCACTCCCACCCCCATCCCCGGCGGGGCGCGGGGACCGGCCCGGAGGGGCTTTGCCGGGCGCACGTTCAGCGTTCGTTTGTTGTAATGCGCGTTGGTGGAGGAAAAGAAATGGAGTGCAACTTCATTCTACTCCAGTTCCAGGGATACTTTCGTTATTACAGCGTCGTTTTAAAAATGATCCGGAAAGGGTTTATAAAGCTGTCAGACAAAAAGAACGATGGCATTTTGAGGGATAAAGTGCTGAGAGACATAATGAACCAATAAAACCCCGACAACTTGGTTTTAACGTTGGGTGTGTTGTGACGAAGAGACAAAAATGGAAGGACTTGTAAGCCGCCTCTTAACACTACCTAAAAACGGTGCAGGAAAATTGGGGCTGCTAGGGTCCGCAATCTGACATGTGCGCTTAGGAAGGACGGAAGGAGAGCTACAGGTGGGGAGTTCTGGATTTCTTATTCTAACAGGGACCAGCACTTGGACAATGTACTCTTCTCTGATCTCCTTCCCATTCACTAGGGGAGTGAAAAACATAGATTTGAACTGGGAAAAACTATTACGACCTATCAACCATTTGCAAAAGGATTGGGGTAAACTATCATCTTACAGGCTTAGACTCTAGGCCGGACACCCCGGGCACTTTCTGATTATGATTTCTTTCCATCTTCACAACAGTTCTAGTGTAAGGTAAGAATAAAACGCGGTTTTTCCTGCTGTGTTGTTTGCCTTCCCTTCCCAATAGCCAGAATATAAACTCTGAACCGTATATTTGTGTGTATTTGGGCAAACATGTACACTTTCCAGAGCCTCTTCTGACTAAAGCATAGTTTCTTGAAAGGGCTGAAGTGAGGACCGCAATAAGACAGTCGTTTGAATCCCTTCAAGGTTTAGTTCCCACTGGCTTTTTCAAGCTTACTAAATTTAAAATTTGAGATTGGGGAGAAGCTAGGCTGGTAAATGAAAACTATAAATTAAAAAAAAAGTCTGACTATTATTACACATAGAAATAAAACATATGCATGACTAATGTATGAAGTCATACATTTATGAAGATACATTGATGAAGTGATATAAAGTTTATTACTCACCCTTTTTCATTTTCTGTACATTACACTAAATAAAGTATACTTTCAAAAATTGGATTATCGATCCAAATGTTTATCTGTGTTCAGTACTGAAATTAGAAGAGTCATTTCCAACTGTGTGTTTCATATGCACAAAGTTCCACATCAGGACAATTTACTTCAGTACACTTGTCAGCACTTGGGAGAACTTAAGGACCAAAATGTGCAAACTGCAAGTCACTCCTGCTGGAGACAAGTTCTTAAAAGAAACAACTAGGGACTGGGAACAGAAAAGTGGGTAGAATAAATGGAAGGGTAGAAATAGAAGTTTGTGCAGTGTTACTTCTGGAAAGATAAAAGCCTTAAATCTCCATTCCTTTGGCTACTGTGAGCAGACAAGTAGTTGGGAGCTGTTTTAAAAGGACGGATAGGAGGCTTATCAGCGTGAAGTTATTGTGGGCAGAGCAAACAAAATATAACCCAGGATGCAGAGGAAGTATTCAAGGAATACTTATTCAACTTAAATAAAGGTCTTTCAAAAGTTTTTCCATCTCTGTCATCCAAATTACACAGCTCTGAGACCACAGTGGAAAAAAAAATCCAGGAGGCAGATAGCTGAGGTAGGTTCCTCAAAATTATAAAACCAGAAAGACAACGAGCATCTGGAAGGACCAAGTGCAAAAAAAAAATAGAATGTCTACCTTCTAATAAGTACACGTTAAATAGGCACTTTAAAAATATGGTAGACATGCACCAAAGTGTTAACAGCAATCACCTCTAAAGGGTTGGATTACGAGGGACTTTCACTTTCTATATTACATTTTTCTATAATACATCGACCTTTCAGAGCACATGTAGTATAATCATAAACATGTATTAAATGTTTAAAATGTGAGTGGGAGTAAGGGTTGTTATCCTCAAAAAAGAAAAAGCAACATCTCATGACACTGTAAGCAAAGGAGATTCTCAAAGTGTCTAGCATACAAATGACAATGAATAAAAATTCATGGTACAGTAGACATTCTTCCTAATTGAAGGCCTAGAAAATGTCATTGATGTCTTTCTTGAGAGAGCAGTCTTTATCACTTTGTTTTAGTGATCATGAAAGTATTCATAAGGCTTTCCCAGAGATTCACTACTAAATGGTATCCCTCTCCTTGTTTTCCCATAGTCTTAAATTCCTCAGGGTTTTTTAGGAACCAAACTTTTACAGTTGTGTGAAAAGACCGCTCAAAACGTACATGCTAGATCTTATAAGATTTGTGTTCATATTTTTACTGTTAAAATTGCACTTTAAAAAGTTGCAGTCATAGGCTATCATTTTTTGTCCTTTATTTTTCAGTCAAAAAAATGTTTTTAGGGCTTCCCTGGTGGCGCAGTGGTTGAGAGTCGGCCTGCTGATGCAGGGGATGCAGGTTCGTGTCCCGGTAAGGGAAGATCCCACATGCCGCGGAGCGGCTGGGCCCGTGAGCCATGGCCACTGAGCCTGCGCGTCCTGAGCCTGTGCTCCGCCACAGGAGAGGCCACAACAGTGAGAGGCCCGCGTACCACAAAAAAAAAAAAAAAATGTTTTTAAAAGAATTTCAACCACTTAAAATTAGTTCATATTTAGTCCATAGTGCATTTTTAGCTTTATAAATTCATATTGCTTTACATAAGTTATTTCAGTAATGCATACCATGTACCTGTGTGATAGAAAAAGGAAGAATCTGAGAAGGAAATAAAACAATCACCTTCAAAAATAATTTGTGTATAAGAGTATGAGGCATATGTAAATGTTCTACAGCACGTTTTATAGAGACATGAATCTTGCCCTCCAGGGGTCTATACTTTAAACCTGGCACTACTGAACAAGATAAACACAAAAAAGGCAATCAAGCAACTGAAAAATAAACATGGAAAAACATACAGGGACTTCCCTGGTGGCGTAGTGGTTGGGAGTCCGCCTGCCAATGCAGGGAACACAGGTTCAATCCCTGGTCCGGGAAGATCCCACATGCCGCAGGGCAACTGGGCCTGTGCGCCACAACTACTGAGCCTGCGCAGTAGAGCCCGCAAGCCACAACTACTGAACCCACACGCCTAGAGCCCGTGCTCCGCAACGAGAAGCCACCACAGTGAGAAGCTCACGCACCGCAACGAAGAGCAGCCCCGCTCACTGCAACTAGAGAAAGCCCGTGCGCAGCAACAAAGACCCAACGCAGCCAAAAAAAAAAAATTAAGAAAAACATACAAATAGAAAGATTAAATATTTACATCTACTGTGTAGAAGACCACAGTTTTTTGAAAAATGCATCTGGGAGTTTGGGGGGAAGGGCAGGGGTGGGAGAAGGCAGCAGACAGCCCTAGAAAAATGGTACAGATGAATCGGTTTGCAGGGCAGAAATAGAGACACAGATGTAGAGAACAAACATATGGACACCAAGGGGGAATAGTGGCAGGGGGGGTGGTGTGGGATGAATTGGGAGATTGGGATTGCCATGTATACACTAATATGTATAAAATAGAT